GTGTTAGTGAATCTAAATCTTGAACTTGTATTATGCAAGTCAGTGAATGAAGTATGCCTTCTATCATCCAGAAAAAGGAGTTGTGTACTATGTCGTCTTATTGAGTGTGTTGTCTTCTTGCACTTGGTATCTGATATTGAATGTTTCATTCAATCCAATTACATATTACAGTGAGGAAAACTTTGATATCATCCAAAAACTCATGTATATGTCTAGACTCGATTTTTAGCCCAATTGCGATACAAGTTCTTCGCTGTTTCGGTTACATTCTTTTTTGGTTATTGTGATTATGCAGTACTGTAGATATTTGGATTCGTAGATAGGCTGCTGTTTGAGACAGAAGTGCATGTGAAAACACCAGACCTCCTCATCAAGCAACACTTCACCCAAAAAATCCTTTTTGACATGTTAGTTCTGCTTTTCAAGTGGTGTATGTATCATTCATTCACAAGCCTTTTGGATTCTATATCACCTCTTTGCAGAGTTCATTTGTGGATATGTTATCAAACACTTTTCATCCATATCCTGCCCCATATTCCGTAATGTATAATAGGGAAGCAGTAATCCTTGGCATATTGTGCTTGTAACAATTGACTGTGGCAGTGATAGCTTATGGAGTATAGAAAATGTAGATTGTGTAGGAATCCTGCTGAAAACTCTTCAGAAGAGATGAGTAGCAACCTAAGATGGTGGAAGACAGTGGCATAATAATTGACTTCAGATGCATGTTTTGTCTCCACAAGTGACCATCGACATCAAAGAATAGTCTTCAACGCCCAAATGAGATGAAGGCACAGTGATCATATCATGGAAGACATGAGGTCAATGGAAAGAAAATATTCTAAAATATGTAGGAGTGCAATAAACACAGACAAGTACTGCGGGCTCAAGTAATGGACAGATGGGGTCGGAAAGAATCTAGCTTAAGCTTTGGGTGGCTGGAGAGAGAGAGAGAGAGAGAGGGAGAGAGGGGAAGTCAATTCAAATCTTCAGCGCTTGAATGGTGTGAGCAACGAGCAGGAAGGCCATGTTATGCATTAAATATAAAGATCATGGATTGAAGATAGGAATAGAGAGAGAGAGAGAGAGAGGGTTTGTTGGGTAGCAATGAAGTGTCGCTCTCAACAGTGATTCAGAATGTGCAACGAGCTGGCACTCACTTCACTCCAAACTCTCTCTCTCTCTCTCTCTCTCTCTCTCTCTCTCTCTCTCTCTCTCTCTCTCTCTTATCTTCAGATTCTTCTCAGTAACTAGATAAAATATAGATAAAGAAGAAAGGCAGAAGACACATGCATGCACTGGAGGCCTATCGCGACACAAACTGGTGAATCTTCCCAAGGAGAGGAGGGTAGGTTACAGACAGACGTCTGTAACACCGTGGTGATGCATATGGGAGAGGAAGGGGTGGCGGATACCGTTGGCAGGAGGGCACGCGGTGTCGGTGGCTTCTGACGCGCCACAAACCTCGCGCTCTCTGTCCTCTGGTTGGTCCCCCTCCCCGTGGGACCCTTCCCCCTCCGTTCGATTCCCTCCTGTAGCAGCACACTGCTCGCATTTATTTCTCTCTCTCTCTCTCTCTCTCTTCTTACTGTGGGATGCCATGTTGGGATTCTCTGTTTGTCATTTCGTGTTTGTATGTGAAGTCATTTTTTGTCCTAAAAATAATGATTAAAATACAATTTCATTCGATTTAGCATTTCAAATCGACACTCAAACTTCCGAGGAGGCGTTGTAGTTGGTGGCGTCACTCGATCTATTGCTGAACCCAACTCCAGAGATGTTATCGCTAAGGAGGTGGTAACACGTTCCTTGGATTATTCGAAATATCACTATGAAATGTACTAATCCGATGAATTAATTTGTGGGATCCACTCGTTTGCACTATATGTTGGTCAGGCGTAAGAAAAGACATTAGAGGTGCTTTCGTTAGACCAAACATCAATTAATTACTTGAGATACGTTTTGTCGATGTTTGCTGGCTTCATACAGCAACAGTACCACCCAACTCTGGCATACATAAAGCGTACAACTTGTGGCATTTAACACGTACAGTACGTTTTGTGGACGCACACCGACGCTTCGCTATCTCTCATGTGGTGCATGCAGCTCCAATCTCCACAGCTGTTTCGTCTCTCTCTCTCTCTCTTTCTCTCTCTTTCACTCATTTTCCTGTGCATATTATTCAATGTCAACTGAAAAGGCAGGCAGAAAGAGATGGCTGAGTGACATTTCATGGTAGACACAACGCTCGATGTAAATCTGAAACGTCATTTCATGTGCTTTTTCTCTCTTCTTTTCACGTTATCAGAGGCACGCAGCAACTCCGACAAAGACACAGAGAGAGAGAGATAGAGAGAGAGAGAGGGTAGCATCGAGTGTAACAATTCTGTGTTCTTCTTCCTTCTTCCATCATCTACTTTCTATCTTTCTGTAACGTGATCCGAAACGTCACTCATGTCTTTATCTCTCTTCGTTACATGAAAACAACAGAGCTAGCGTTAGAAATTATTCTTTTGTTTTTGTATGTATGGAGTGAAACCTAGGCTGGTAAGCAGGCACCATTGAACTCTTCTTTTTCTGCAACCATTCTCCCTATTTTATGCTTCACATATATAAAATGATAATTCTACTTCCAAACAGATTTTGAGAGTGCCAAGAAGAGATTCAGCAGCAACAGTGTGTCTGAGAGCTGTTCTCTTAAACTGATGATCTTGAAGTAGTTGATTTTTTAAATGAATACAAGGTTTGCACTTGATGGGTAAAGAAATCCCACATGTACTGCCTTTGAATATAGCAACAATATGTATCGCCGCATACCGAAGAAAGATCGACTATGATAACCTAAAAAAGACAATAATAGCTCTACTTTTAGGGAAGAACAAGAATTAGTATCAAAGAGTTTAGACAAATAAGTTTGGTAGCCAATCTGCTTGCAGATGGTTCTGGATTGACCAACGATTGATCACATAAAGAGACTTCTGGTTGAGGTTTGTGAGAGATTTCACATGGATGGTGTAGCATGGAGTGCACAGATCGCGCGAAAATGATCTCGAGTTCATAAAAAGCCCCAAACAGCATTGACTTGGCAGATTCAGAAAAGTAGTAGATCAGCTTAATCGGTATAGAGCTTTTCGTATGGAGGGTTGGCATGCTAAAGATGAGTGCTATAATTGAAAATTCAGCAACAATATAGAGAAATTAACTTATAGCGAAATCATCCTTTCTCGTTTTAGACGCCATTTTGTTTCGAGTACATTACGAGCTAAATGTTGCTTACCTTCTCTGTTCAGGCCATGGAAGACTTCTCGGAAGTTAATGGCGCTAGGAATGATACCACTTTCCAACATTTCGTGGATAAGTTGCAGTGCATCTTCGGACCTTCCTGATTTGCACAGACAGGCCATGAACATTGAGTAGGTCACAAAATCAGGATATGGGCCTTTGAGTTTCATTCTGCGAAAAATATTCCATGCATCCGTAACCATCCCCATGTTCATAAATCCACGAATGAGTGCCGAATATGTAACTACGGTTGCCTCACAACCATCATCCTTCATCTTCTTAAATATTTTCATTGCCTCGGCAATCTTTTTCTCTTTACAGAAATGAACAATCAAAGATGTATGTATATGAGTGGTTTGTGAAATCCCTGCCCTCTTCATTGTCTCAACCTTATCTAAGGCCTCATCCAAACGACCCTCTCTGAGAAGTGCATGGACAATACTTCCATAGACATACTGATCTCTGGTGCATCCAAGAAGCTCCATATCATCTGCTGCCTTCAGAGCCTCTTCTATTCTGCCTGCTCTGCAGAGAGACTTAACTAGCAAGGAGTAACCAACCTGTGCTGTGAACCCTCTACGACATAGATTTTTAAGAGATCTTTGAGCATCAACTAATTGCTTGGATTCACACAAACAAGAAAGATAAATATCAAGCATTTCTTTGTCTGGCATGTGTCCTGCACGGATCATTTCTTGGAATATTTTGATTGCTTCGTCTGTCTTTCGACCTTTCTTGCCACACAGAAACACAATAAGATATTTATAAGTACTACCATATGGCTCATAGCCATCTTTCTTCATCTCTTTAAAAGCATCTAAAGCCATTTGAGTTAGACCTGCTTGACCATACTGAGCTATCATAATTGTCCAGGTATTTGGAGTTATTGCTAAATCGCTTCTCCTCATTTCCCGAAAAAGATGTCTCATGTGCTTGAAATCTTTGGCACTTCCTGCAAGTTTGATGGCCATATTATAGGCTTCCGCTGTGTGAGTATAACCAGTTTTCCTTCCGATCCATGAAAATAATTGCAAAGCTGCACGGCTTTGTCTCTGACTACTACGGAGGACGGCCTCCACTAGTTCTGGTGTAAAGCAAATGGCGCTGCTCTCTAAAACTTCCTGAATTGAGCACCATTCGGTATATGAGGATATAATTCTGTGCACTTCCTTGAGATCAGCATTGCTAAAAGTTGTTGTTTTAACAGATTTCATGTCCTGCTCATCCTGCTTTGGTGAGAAACTTGATACCTCATGCTCATGATCAAGAAACTGATGGCAAGATGATTGACAAGCTGGTTCCTCTTCTAGGCAATATAGTCTGGATGATCTGCATATCTTCTCCACGTTTCTAGCTTTCTCCAACTCTCCAATTTTGGTTAGAGAAGAAATGACCAGATGGAATACTCCATCTTTTGGATTTATCATGGAATTGATCATTTCTTCCAAAAGCTTAAGAGCCTCTAGGGGTTTGGAAACCTTACAAAGTTCATTGATGAACACAGTATAAGCTTTTCTAGTAGGCCTCATCCCGTTCTGCTTCGTGGTTTCAAAAACCTTCCAAGCTTCAGAAATTTTGTTGTTTTGGACATAACCAGCAACCATGGCTGTGATTGCTACAATATCCGGCTTGATACCATTTCTCAACATCTCCTCAGAAAGTTCACATGCCTTTTGATATCCATCTGATCTAAATAGCCGTTGGATCATCTCAGTATAAGTAGAAACCATTGGCTGGCACCCAGATTCTCTCATTTCTTGCAACAACTTTAAGGCCTTTTCTATATCACCTTTTTTAAGGAAACCACTAATCAAACAACCATACAACTTACTGTCGACACCTGAATTTTGCCTCAAGCCCTTCACAATGTCTACAGATTTATCCATCTTGCCTGCCCTGCAAAATCCTTTCACTAAGATGTCATAGGTGTCAGAATCAACAAGGAGGTTTTTCTTCTTGATCTCCTCGAACAGATGTTGTGCTTCTTCAGTTTTCCTAGAAATACAAAAACTCCTCAAGATGCGAGTGTAAACCTCACTTTCTGAGACCTGTGCATTCTTCATCATATCAAGTCCGACCGACCTAACAGCTGCTGCATCACCTGATATCGCTAGACAATCCATAAGCATTTCATATAAGTTTCGCTTGACCGCCATGTTCTTAGAAGTCATTTCTCTGTAAAACTCCATGGCAAGCTCTGGTTTATTCGCACAACATAAAGCACGAAACATTATTTCATAGACTCCGATGTCTACTTCACAACCAGATTTCTTCATTGCCTCAAATGTGCGCATAGCTTTGCCGATCTGCTTTGCTTTTCCATACTTGGAGATGATAATAGTCCATGTCTTGACATCCCTGGGACACGGCTCCTCATCCATTTCATCCACCAACTTCTCCATCAAATCGAAATCCTTAGCCTCGCCGGCTATGTATATCATCACATTGTAGGCCTCTGTCGTGTGGCAAAAGTTTGGCCGCTCCTTGACCCAGTTGAAGAATCGAAGGGCCAAATGGCCGACCTTGAAGCACCTCTTCAACACCTTCTCTACCACATCCGAACTCAAAACCGAATCCAACTCCTCCAAGCGCCGTTCCATGCGAAGCTGAGATTTCTCTGAGCGCACAATGTTCGTGATCTCGTGAACGATCGGGCTGACGTCTTCCAAGTTGGAATTTTGAAGTGGGTTTCGTTCTGAATCACCTGCTCTGAACACCGTTTCTCCAGCACGGGGTGTACTCGTGCTCTCTTGGGCAATTCGGCAAGCATCTGGGCTACCATCAAAGGAACTAACTGGACGAGCAAAGCTGCCATCTTTAGCGAGCAAAACCTGAGTGGAAGCGTGATCAACGGCGGGTTTCTCTTCGGCCTCGACGAGCTGGGAGATCGTCTGGTACACGGAAGCAGGGGTGGGTCCTTTCGAGCGGGTCGACGTCTTGCGAGCTGGAGACTTGCTCTTTGCGCGGGTGGTGTTCGAGGACTTCAAGCGATACAACAACAGCCGAGAAGGCGCCGGATTCGTCGACGAGAACAGCTTGCACAGACTGCTCATTTGTTTTCCCGTCGCTGTTGGGTGATCGGGTGGAGGGCGGCACGCGGTGCGGCGCACCAGCGCCACCGCCGTTCGATGATTATGGCGCACTAAGCGGCTGACCCGTTGTAGAAAACGCGTCATAACTTGAACGAATCAGCCGTAAAGATTTTCAGGGGTGATGTTGGACCACCCCACTTGTAGACCCATCACGACGTATGTCACGTGTGGCATCAACCCTAACGGTTTTCAGGGGTGTCGTAGTCCATCTAAAAGTAATAATAATAACAATAATAATTATTATTATTATAAAGACTATTTATATAATAAAAGTTGAATGTTTAAAATAAAATAAAATAAAATATTTATGTGATCATATTTTTAGATTCTTGGAACTAAAATCATAAGAAATTATAGTATGAAAATAATCTTTTTTTTATAAAAGAAAGCGAGTATTCTTTGATTTCTCTCTAATGCATCGATCTTCTCTGTTGCTGCATCAATCATCAGATGACCGACGTCTTAATAGTGTGTGATGAGCTTTTAAACGGTTCCCGAGGACAAGTATAGGAACACCAGAACTGATTTCTTCTGACCTCTTCATAGGTCAAATGCATGCAATCGATCACAGGGCACGAGTAGATAGATGGCTGCGACTCTTCCTCCTGCCTACTTCACCACGAAGAACAGGTCTTGGATCGCCATGTTCCACTGTTCATGCACCAACCATGATGCGTTGACCTCTTCATCGCATTGCTTGATGTGCTCACCGATCCCCCATGTGCATGCCTGCAGCCTCTCGACCGACTTTTTCTCACGTCGAGCAGCAACACCCACCAAGTCAACGTGCATGCATGTTGCACCGCGCTCCTCCTCCTTGTGCCGACCCAGTCGTTGACCCACCATGCTTCCTGCTCTTGGATCTGCATCTCCAAGAGAAGCTTTCTTGGTCTGCATCTCATGTTTTGCGAAAGGTTTGTTCTCTTTTGACGTTTGTTTTAGTCATTCAATGGCATAAGGGACTAAATCATCAAATTTAGATGCTCTTCTGCATGGCATTTGATGTTACCAGTTTACATTCACCGAAGGGAGTTGACAAACTAGGAAGAAGGAGTATCAAAATGGCTTTTGATCGAGTATTGTGCTGACACAAATACCCAGCACAAGGATAAATCACCGTTACGATAACCGTTACAATGATTATAACGGCTGCTATCTCGTATAAGATTTTGGCAGTTGGAAAAAGCAACGAAGTCAACTCCCCAATTGCGCGTTTGTTTGACTCGGGTAAGGCCGGTTGCCGACCGGTAAAATGACCGCCGCGTCCATTTGTTCGTACATTCGGTTAAATTTACATTTTGGTCCTTATAAGAATCTGAAAATTCATATCTTACCTTAGAGAGGGATGAAATCTCACATGCATCTTCCAATATTTGGATTTTGTTGGGTCTTTATGAAAATATTTGTTTTGCATGTGTGTCCCTGAAACCATCAGGTTCGATGATATGCCGACTTGATAGGGATGGGTTTGTAATATCGTATCCTCAGGGGTGTAAATGTAAACTGACTTCGCTTTCTATCTTGTTCCGATTCTTTTTGGTTTGCTTTCCTTTTCGATGAGCATCGTTTCTTCCACCACCTCTCATGTCAACTAGCTTTCGGATAGGTGGATCTGGTGCAGATTCGATCGCTTGAAGATTCCTTCTGCCTTCCTCATCGTTACTTGGATTTATTCGTGGTTGTTGATCGATGGACGATTTCGCGTTTTCGGTTTTCTCTGTGCTTTCGCGTCCTGATTCCTGCCCTTCTTCTTCTATTTCGTTCTTGATCGGGACAATAATTTGAATTTTTCAGAGTTTATCCTCTTTGGTCGATCATTTACGTGTGTGATTGTGCGAAATAGTCAATCTATTGTCGTATTTCTGGACTTCCAAGCTTCTTCCTCCACTGGGATTGAACGCGTACAGAGGCCAGATTCCGGCTTTTTTAGATCTGTGGATGCTTGTTGGAAGTCCTGACACGAATGCTGCAGAGGGAAAGCGGGGAATATTGAGCATCGTATCCGATGGGCAACACATGCGTCGGGCCGAGCCTGACGAAGAACGGGTTCTTCCAATCGGTTTCCGCCAGCATTTGGCGCACCCGTTCGGAGAAGGACGTTCTCCCGTCCGCCCACGGCGAGGCAGCCGGCAGTGAGTCCGCTAAAGCTTCATCGGCCACCGATGCCCCCGAACCCGTCAAGATCCCTGGAGTCGACACAAAGCACTCCAGGATCCCCGAAGTCGTCGGGAATCCGGCGCCGGCAGACCCTTGTAAGAAGCCCACCCAGGTCAAAAGGACCGGGAGCTCAGCCGGCCTTCAGGCTGGCTCAGTGTTGAAGCGCAAGACCGAGAACCTGAAGGACATTTACAGCTTAGGGAAGAAGCTCGGACAGGGACAGTTTGGCACGACCTATCTCTGTGTAGAGAAGGCAAGTGGAAAGGAGTATGCTTGCAAGTCCATCTTGAAGAGGAAGTTGGCCACCGACGAAGATGTCGAGGACGTTCGGAGAGAGATCCAGATAATGCACCATTTGTCTGGTCATCCCAACGTCATCTCCATTAAAGGGGCTTACGAAGATGCCGTGGCTGTTCATTTGGTAATGGAGTTGTGTGCTGGTGGTGAGCTGTTCGATAGGATAGTCCAGAAGGGGCACTACACCGAGAGGAAGGCAGCGGAGCTTGCAAGGGTGATTGTGGGCATTGTGGAAGCTTGTCATTCGATGGGTGTCATGCATCGGGATCTCAAGCCCGAAAATTTTCTTTTCGTGAACCAAATGGAGGATGCTTCTCTTAGGACCATTGACTTTGGATTGTCGATATTCTTTCGACCTGGTATGTTCTTTTTCCTTCTCAGCTTATGCATTAGGCAAACTGTTTCGTCGGTCACAAAATTGTAGTTGGAGGTGCAGATTTATGAATGTAGTTTTTCTTGAGACAGATTAATTCAAATGACAACAACCGTTTCCAAGAAAAAGATCTTATCTATTTTAATTATGCAAAAAAGGCTTTGTGATAAATGCAACTCGACCATTGATGCAACAACATGTAATGACTTGACCCTTGATAGAGATGCTTTCTTTTTCCTTACTGATCTGTAAGAACATTCATGTTTCTTTAGCTTGCACCATCATCTTTCTCTTCGGTCCATTTGGGAAGCCCTGTAATCCTTTACTTGTAAGCAAGTAGGATACTAGAGTTTATATGCAATAATTTGGCTTTTAGATGATATCATAGAGCTTAAGAAATTTAGTTTGGTAACGAAACAGGGACTACACAAAAATAGCCTTTCTATTTTGGTGGTAAGGGAGTCTTGTGTTTCTTTATCTTGCACCATCATCTTTCTCTTCAGTCCATTTGGCAAGCTTAGTAATCCTTAGTTGACTTATAGGCAAGCAGCGGACTCCAGTTATTTGGATCATGAAGGGGCAGTTTTGTCGGAACACCAAGTGTCACATTTGTTCCTCCAGAACTATTGTATTTTATTCTGACCCTTAATTGTGTTACCACGTTAACTAAGCAGTCTAAGGGACAACAGAAAATTGGTGGCTTCCATTTATCTTTACTGGAAAATGGTTAAAGAAGACTTCTCTTCAGCATAGATTGTAGTCAATCAAGTTTATGGGCTACTAGCTAAGAACGTGATACTTCTCTGGAAGCTATTAATGTATTCATTTCCATGCATCAGATCTCCAGTTTCGTCGGATGTATAATGTTCACATAACAGGGTACACAATTTTCAGCTTCAAAGCAGAGCTGATATCTACTTGGAGTTATCAGTACCTTGATTTGATCAGGTTGAGGGAATTGATTTTGCTATTTTTTCAATTACATTTGTTGTAAAACCCACCTGAGATTAGCAGAATAGTTCATAATTTTAACTTGATTCTGTGGTAATATAATTATCCATAATATGTACACAAAAATGAACTACAATGAAGATATATTCTGCTTTTGTTTCTTTTTTGTGAAACCTCTGGCTGCAATTAGTTGAGTGTGTGCTTCGATGGAAGTAAATTGTTTTTGCTTTCAAATAACATCACTTTAGTTTCTTGTTTTATTGAAGAAGAGGGACATTATGGCTTGTTGTGGTTGTAATGTGGAAGAGGAAGCATTATGATAATATATCACATATAACACCCACGTTCTTTATTATAATGTAACTTTTTTAGGAAGTTTAAATCAATTAAATCTAAATCCTTGAGCCATATTGTTTACTAACTCATTTTATGCTGATACTTGTCAACAATCTTTCTTTAGCTGTTCACTAACTGGCCGATCTTTTCTTTCAGGGGAAGTATTTAATGATGTGGTTGGTAGCCCTTACTATGTTGCGCCAGAAGTCCTGAAGAAACGTTATGGTCCAGAGTCAGATGTTTGGAGTGCTGGAATTATCATCTACATTCTGCTTAGTGGTGTACCTCCATTTTGGGCTGGTGAGAAATTTGACGTTAACTAATTGCTCATTTTATCCTACAATGACTACACTTCTCAGTTCATAATTTTATATGCACACGATTGTTTTGTATGTCATTGTGTGTATCACATACCCATATAGTGAGTACCAAGAACATATGCTTGTACTATCCTTCAACTATTTGATACTTCTTGTTTTCATGTCCAGAATCTGAGCAAGGTATATTTGAGGAGGTTTTGCATGGTAAACTTGACTTCCAATCAGATCCATGGCCTAGTATCTCAGAAAGTGCAAAAGATCTTGTAAGGCGAATGCTTGTTAGAGACCCTAGTAAGCGATTAACTGCCCATGAAGTACTGTGTAAGTTTTTTACCTTTCTGGCCTCAAATTTTAGATTATTACATTGTCAGAAACTATGGATTATCTCTCAGTGAAAACATCTACGGCTTGCTGTTAACTCAATTTTTTTCCAAGAACACATCATAGCATACAATGAATAAATAATTATAGTATATCAACGAACCATCACTTATATCTCATATATATCGCACAAGGCTTTAGAGTGACTTATTTCCTTGCTACTGCTTTGTCTTTATTCACATGTAATCATGCTATCCCATTGGCTTTAATCAAACAATTTCACCTATGGATGTTTAAGTTGCTTTAGAGTGATTTCTTTTCTTGCAGGTCATCCTTGGGTTCAGATTGATGGTGTGGCTCCTGATAAGCCTCTGGATTCTGCAGTTCTCTCTCGCCTGAAACATTTCTCAGCAATGAACAAGCTCAAAAAGATGGCCTTGAGGGTAAGGTTTCTAATGCCTGAAATTTTTGTAATTATGAAGACAATATATTTGGCTTGTATACAACTTTTAGATATATCAGAAAAGTTTTATGCATATGATGCAGTGAAAAGTTTATGGGTGTTCAAGACTACCTGATTAGGACAATCTGGGACTTATGTCATGAAAGTTAGCTGCACTGGAGAACAATGTTCCTACTGAGTTGAACTTGCTTCCTAATTAATTCTAATTGAATTATTTTGATGGTAAACTAGAAATTTGCTAAACCACATATCTGCAAAAGCATACCTGTTTCACAATCTACATATCTTTTTCCAATATTTACTCTTCCTTTTTCTATGATTTGATATGTAATAATGTGCTTCAAAGAAAAAGGATTCCTTCAAATTTTCAACATTGAATTGTACAAATTAATGAATAATAGTGCAAGCCATAGCTGCCATACAAACTTTAGTTTCGGGCTCTGAAACCGCTTTAATTTGAAAACATACTAGACATTTGAGTATCTGTATTCATGTGCTTCATCCAGTGAATATTGGATTTTTAGTGAATTTTGGCATAAAATGATACATTTTCTATATTTTATTTTATTTATGCAGGTTATTGCTGCAAACCTATCTGAGGATGAAATTGCTGGCCTGAAGGAGATGTTTAAGATGATAGACACAGATAATAGTGGACAGATAACTTTTGAAGAACTCAAGGTTGGATTAGAAAGAGTGGGCGCCAAACTTAAGGAATCAGAAATTTATGCACTTATGCAAGCAGTAAGTGTCAGTTTCTTTTCATTTTATAATTTAATCAATGTTGTTGTCGAAGGTTGACTAAATATGTCATTACCTTTTGAATTGTAGTATTAGTCTTATAAAAAAATCAACTAAAGTTAAATAACTACCTATTAAAGTGTAATTTACTATTTTTATTGTAAAAAGACCAACAGAAGTTATTTAACTACATTATAGGTCAATCTTGTTAGGGAAGGGGAAAATGTGAACAGAGGTGGTGCAAACAGCAGGGTTAAGGCCTCTTCTTTTAGAATCATACTATTCTTGATTCATGTCTTATAGATAATAACAAATGAGTGATCCCTAATGCAGAAGGTGATTAAAGATGAATCTGTCAGACAAAAATTTATTGATAATTGCGATTTAGCACAAATAATTTTTTGTCCTTTCTCTTTGTACCACTGTTAGTTTGTACTTTTCTTTGTACCCTCTTCGTGATGCAACTACATCATCCATGCAAGTATTATTTTTCAAAACAAATCTAGTTTTTATATTTTAAAAATTAGATAAAATGTGGATATGGAAATATAAAGATGTAGTACCTAATGTAATGCACATTTAATACTCATATATTTGTGACAATTTACTATGCATACTCAAACTCTTTCTTGAACATTGTACTACCTGTGAAGTTATGAACCTTTCAACTTTCTAAGTTGTCACCTCAAGTAAGATTTTACATCCATCACAACTTTTTTTTTTTGATCCATCTATCACAACATTAAGCTAGTTTTGCTAGTTAATAGATAACACCTTATTCACTGTGGCTGTTTAAAATTCTTGCTGGTTTAGAGATTTCTACCGTAACACATGTTTCTGTGATAGACTCTAGAAACTTGAGGAAAATTTAGCATGTTCTATTCGAAACCATGTTCAGGGCACTTTCTGTCCTTGAAATAGTTGTTACGTGTCCATGTGCAAAACATTTAACAAGAAGAGATAATTTACCAAACTTAATAATGAAACTTCTTCATTTTTGCTTATCCCTCTTTTCTCCAAAACTATAAATTGCAGGCAGATGTTGATAACAGTGGTACTATAGATTATGATGAGTTTATTGCTGCTACATTACATCTAAACAAGATAGAGAAGGAGGACCACTTATTTGCAGCCTTCCAATATTTTGATAAAGATGGAAGTGGTTATATAACTGCGGACGAGTTGCAACAGGCTTGCGAAGAATTTGGTATGGGGGATGTCCGGCTAGAGGAAATGATCAGAGAAGCAGATCAAGATAATGTATATAACTTAGTCAGCCATCATTTCATTTATGAATCTTGAAATGCTACTGGGGATTACATCTGCTCAATTTTTGAATCCTTGTTGCAGGATGGTCGCATAGATTACAACGAATTCGTGGCAATGATGCAAAAAGGAAATACTACTGTCATTGGCAAAAAGGGATTACAAAGTAACTTCAGCATTGGTTTTAGGGAGGCTCTGAAGCTTGGTTAAGAATGTACTGATGTAATTTTCTTGATTTTTTTTCTCCTCTTTGTTTCTTCTATATTATCCTTCCTTGTGTTTGTTATAATCAATACAAATAGTCGGGATCGGAAGCTCTTTCTTTGCCATCTCCGCATTGAGATAACACTACTTGTAAAAATCCAACTTTTTCTCATCCATTATCTAATGTTTGGACTTTCCAACTTTAATGTGTGTGAACAAAATGGCAGTGGCACTATCCCTCAGTAGTTAAATTCTTGTTTCACATAGAAGTTCACTTTTCTAGATGACATTTAACATCAGAATGTTCTACTAGTTCTTAACATTTAATTGAGTTACACTAATGTTGGTCACTTTTGATCCCCATATATGGTCACAGTGTACTGTTTGGATCATGGTGGACCTGTTCTTGCCTCAGTTTAATATGCTCAGCATGTACTCTCTATTTTTCTTGTTAATGGCAGTAATATATTTTCCAAAGAACTATGAATCCAGTTAGATATATTCATCAAATCTATTATTTCCTGTCTCCTGATCAGTGACGCTTCATATTTGTTCTTGGATTCAGTATGAAAATGATATCTGTTTATGTGAAAACAGCCTTGCCAAAGGAAGATTTTGTGATGTCCATGTCACAAGTGCAGGAAATTCTAATAAAGGAACAACCACCATTGGATATCATAAGATAGGAACTTAAGGTGAACCCATTGCTACCATCATTTAAGGAGCATCAATCAGAAACAACAGCTGCAAGAACCAGAATGACATGCAAAGCATAGAGGTAGAGGATACTATTTGAGTCATAAGACCCACAATCCACAATTTAAAGCCAATTCTTAGATCAGTAAAATTGCAATAACATGTTCCTTCAAACCCGCTGGTGTTTGAGTTTCTTGTGGTCAAGCATGATCTTACCTTCTTCTTTTGGCCTTTTCACCACCTAATTAAATGTGATCACAAAGTAAAAGCAATGTCAACTGTGAAATCTAATTATATGTATACAATCCAGAAGAAATTTTTGAAAGTTCAATTCACCCCATTATATCTTTCAAGTTCTAAGATCTCCATCAATGTTAACCCAAAAGTATTAGATGATATTTTGAATCCGGATAAGTGAATTTGATATATCATCATCATGATTAATATTTTAAATATAAATTTATAAATATAAGTGTGTCTGATTATATAGGGATAATTAAAAAATAATAATAATAATAATAATGAGGAGGAGGAGGAGGAGAAAGAAGAATAGGGTATTTATATCTAATTATAAAGGGATAATATGAAAATATTAAAAAATAAAATAAAATTATAAATAGTAAAAATGGGTTACAAATAATAATCTCCTAACACAATTTAAAAACATGATATATTATCTTAAGTTTATTTGTTTTCCGTTCTAGGGTTATAGTTAAGAAACTGATCCTAAAATACGACCACGATGATTCCTCCCCGAGTACTAGTATCGAAAACCTGATAGAAAATTTTAAAAATTCAAAAAAAAATCTGATTTTTTAAGCACATGTTGAGGATCAAACTACACTCAGTTCGATTCGGTCATATGCATGTATGAAAATTATCCTTAACTCGCAATCATAAACAAAATTTAAATATTGTAGAGGGTTGTCATCATTGAGCTTGATTTAGATTGAAGTAGGGAAGTTTGTGTGTGTTGCCAACTAACAACTACCTACAACCTTCTCAATTAGCATTCATACACAAACCTCACAGTTCTAATGACAATTACATCATCACCAAAACTTCGAACCCTCGTGTTTGATTTGGCAACTTTTATTATTATTATCATCATCATCATCATCATCATCATCATCTTCATCTTGCATTTGAGCACCAATTTTCTAATTATATACAATTATTATTATTTTTTTTTATTTTGGTTTTGACCACGAATGTGGACACGAAGTGTCTTTTCGTCCGCCTCATGTTTTGCTGCTCTGACCAAGCAAAATCTTCACCAAAGTCAGACTACTGTTGTATCCACATCCACTCTTTCTTCCTCCCTTTGCATCGGCCGTCACCCTCTTTTCAACGCAATCCCTGCCCGCAGCAACTAAACCCATCGCTCATACTTTTGTTGACTTCTTAATGTGGAGAGTTTCTTCACAAGATTGCCGACGGAGTGCGTTGTTGTGGTAATATTTTGACTGTTTTCTGGATTAGTTTTTCTTCTTCTTCTTCTTCTTCTTCTTCTTTTATGTCAACCATCAGATTCAGAAAGCAAAAGGCAACAAAACATTCAAGCATCTAACTTGTGAGACCATCTCCATTACAAGTCAACTGTCATGTGCCAATGTTGACCATGGACTTTTGACTTTTCAACACCCGACCCAACCACTATCAAGCGACCGACATACACGATGGCCCATAATTCTATAAGAGAGGTCGAGGACGATAGGGTGCGATGGAACGGCGACAGTGCAACATCGGCACCACACCATGCCTTCCTCCTCCCGAAGAGAGCTCCAGGGCCCAAGGCCTCCGCCACTCAAGGTGAGCAGGGATTCATGCAGAGTCAAGAAACCAGCAACGGCGGCAGCTCTCTCTCGGGGCGAGCACGAGCACCGCGAGCCGGTCGTCGTCTACCTGCACACGCCCAAGGTCTTCCACACCAGGCCCCAAGATTTCATGAGCCTGGTGCAACGGCTGACGGGGAAGTCATCTTCTTCGAGCTCTTCTCGCTGTAGAACCGGCTCCGATATCGACCAGAGAGGCGCCGGAATGGACTCTCTGAATGATACTGGCGTGGGACAGAACGTCGGAGCTGGTGAAGGTGGAGACCCGTTGCTGCTCACGCTGGGCCAGTTCTCTTCCATGTCTTCCGTTCCTTCACCGATCATATCTCCAAGTCTCTTCTTTTGTTCTCCGAATACGCAGGCATGCTTGCAGGATCTTAGTCCATTATTTTGAAGGCACATATCCACTGTAAATTGTTGGATGCATATCTATGTATGAACGATCATGTTCTCCTTCTCCTGTAAGAATCCTCAGATCAGCAGTGAAGAAGAATTATGAGGAGGCCTCTAATTCTGATGCATACAACTCTCGGATATCTTTTCCTTGTAAGCATGCAGCTCATCTTTCAGAAAACCCCATAAGAGATCACTGACACCAATCACAGTCTTTATCTTTCTTGCTTTTGCAATCAAAACAGCATGTATGATATTTGTTTACTCATTGAAGTGATATGAAAAGCCAAAATCTCAAACGATCGATCTCATTCAGTTCATTCTCCTCTTGCATACCGAGTCCCACAATTGCAGCTGGAATTCTCCTTGTTTCTTGGGCAGGGCATCTGAGAAGAAACTGCCACATCTGCAAGTGAACTTGAAGAACAAAGAAGTAGTCCTTTCGGCTGGAACAAATTGATTTGTTCCAATTCTCGAAATGATTAATATGTCTAAGTTGGAACTCCATTGAATTACATATGATCGAGAAGGAAAGGGGGACATGTTAAGAGAAATTTTATATGCTAAGATCTTGGTAAGAGATAGAGAGGGAAAATTTCTCTACTGAGACATCCGAATTGATTATATCAAAGACAAGGAGACGAGCTGAAGCCTAAGATGGAAGACGAGGAACGTGGACCGGTTACCTGAGGTGGTGAAAAGGTTGAAGAAGCACTAGTCTTGGAACGTAGGGTTTGAAATCAAGAAAAAGGAATAAGGATCATCAGAGTTTTTCTAACCATAGACGCCAAGTTAGAGAACGCATAGGAAAACCGGAGAAGATTATGCAGATAGAGATACAGATAATATGATTAATAAATAATAAAAGTATGAGAACCATTGATCATTAATGATCATATGCCTCAACTTTCCTATACACCTCTTAGTTGACATCTCGAGCCATGCCTCTACATTAATGACTGACAACAAATTATATTGCTCGGTGCCCATACATAAAAACTACGTCCTCAACCAAATAGAAGGGGGGAGGAGGGCACATAGTTGTCTTTCTCTCCTCCGTCTTGTATTGACTTAAGCATCGGAGGGATGGAGCTAAGAAACCTCAACACAGACCTATTGTGCAAGACTACCGGTGGCCAGGAGATGACCTCACGACAAGGGAAACCTATGTTCCTTTATCTCACCTCTCCGTAGACCTCCTATGTTGATTCATCACATCAGCACTCCACATCAATGAGGAGGAGATACAGAATGAACCTACCAATCGAATCGACTCAACAGTCAACAATATTCATGATACTATCAAATAGCACGATCATCCGGTGCAACTTGCATCCGTTGAAGACAATTAATCCATACTGGCCAGTCCTTTCATTGCTCTCCTGTAGGCAATTACGCATCAGATGCTTTCCTCTTCAACCTCAGCTTCGTCCATTCCTCAAGAAAGAGAAGTTTGTAGGACTGCAGCCGTGGAAGAAACGCAAGAACTGCAAGTTGAAGTTTCCAGTCTAGAAACAAAAAACAATGGAGTTTCTTCTTGTACACATGGATCACGTAAAGGACAGCCGCTATTTCGACTGGGAGCCAGTAGGAACTCAAGTCGTCGTTCCCTTCCCGGTCCAAAGTTTCTGCTCTGGAGATCCTGCAGGATGCAGACCAACCGAAGAAGGTATCGTTCCACCAGACGACTGTGATTGACTTAATGCAGCATGTGTTTCTTCCAAAGGCTTGGACTTATATGTGCCCTCAAAGAACACTCCTTTTCTACAACACTTGATTGATAAGAAGACTAGTAAACTTAGATAAAATTAATATTATCTAATAATTTGGGTATCTAAATCCGGCTTGATTAATTACTTATAAGAAGGCATCCCAAATTCAAATAAAAGTACTCAAACCCGATTTAAATAAATAAAATAGAATCATATATCCGAAGAAAATGCTATAAATTCAAAGTAACATTAGTTCATCTATCGCAGCTATATAATCCAGTCAATTCTCGTAGAGGTGAGACTAAATCATAGTTATTACAAGCACACCTCACTTTGTAGCGATCATCTCTGGTCATAAATTTTAGAGGGAGAAAAATTAAAGTACTTAAAGATTTGTTTAGTGCTTATGATATTGATAGAAAAGGAGATTGGGATAAAGATATTTAAGAATCAAATGAAGTAGTTTAAACGAAGAAGGTTTACGCTCATCTTTTATTGATTGAGATATGATAATTTAGAGGACTAAATTTTCTTTAAGAGTGAGAGAGTATAATATATTTTATTTTTAAATTATTTATGATAATATAAAATTTTTAATTATTTTAATATGAGAATTTATTTAATAATTTCTTACATTAGGTAATTTTTATATTGGAGGACTAATGCTGGTGATCAAATTATGAATCCTAGAATTTTTATATAATTTATAAAAGTTTTCATGTTAAATTAGTGGAGGAGAAAAATATAAAAAAAAGAAAAATGAAAGATCATGTGTCACTCTTATGTTATCTAAACACTTGTAATTAGAGAGAAAAAGAGAAAAATATTACCAAGTTAGAGTTTGTTGCCTTCTACCTTGTATTTGAGGATTGAATAGGAGAATAAGTAAAGTGTGCTTAGTTTGGCTTTAAGATTTTGGGTTAATTCAAGATCTTTGAAGATTATCATTTCAAAAAAAAAAAGGAAGTAGTAGTTAAATGGGAAAGACTAATGAATGTGATAGAAGTTAAAAGTTTTAGATTACTACAAGAGATTTGAAGATGAATTCTTGATACTTCTCTCGTCAAACTAATAAAATAGAATATGAAACTTGAATGATGGTGAGATTATAAGCCAAGTTTTTAAGAGTTAAAAGGAATATTGATCAGTACACATATTCTCAATAGTAATGATGGATTTGTAGTTTATAGATATGTTTATGCTTTCATATAATTGAAAAATTATCAATGGGACTAACTAATGATTTAGAGTTAGAAATAATTATAAATGATAAATATTTGAAATCGATATTGATTAAAAGAGTTTAAAGTATATTTTTATCTAGAAAAAACTGAATACAAGACAACGAAGACGGATAGAACTTCTAAAGAATTATAATTATACTATTCATTATCAACGTGGTAAAGCTAATGTTATAACTAATGCACTTCGTAGAAAATCTATAATTTTTATGACTAGCTTGATTATAAAGCAATGAAAATTGTTAAAAAAAATTATGATTTAAATATTACAAGGAAAGAATATTGATAGCATTTATTCGGGTTCAATCCAATCTCACCCACCAAATTAAAGAAAAGCAAGAGATCCATATTTGATATGGAATAAAGTATAAAAGGAATTGAAGCCTGATTTTAAAATTTTGACGAATAACGTATTGAGATCTAAGGATAGAGTATACATTTCAATGATCCAAACATTAAGAACCAAATGTTAAAATAAAAATATAAATCTAATTACATAATGCATCCTAATAGCACTAAGATATATAGAGATATCAAAAAGTCATTATTGGTAAGATGGAACGAGGAAAAAAATTACAAAATATGTTTCAAAGTATTTGAATTTTTAGCTAATCAGCATTAGAGATATGAAGGTTTGTTACAATCTTCATATGTTCTTGAATGGAAGTAGGAAAGTATTGCCATGACTTTGTTTCATGTTTATCAAGGACCTATAGAATAGCATTATGCTATTTGAATTATCATTGATAAGTTAGTCAAATCTTTATATTTTTTACCTATCAATATGATTTATTTTTTTTGATAGATTTTTAAACATATATTAATGAAATAGTAAGACTACATAGTATAGAGACTCTAGATTTTTTCTTAGAGAAAATTATAAAAATCTATGTACACTAAAGTTAAGTTTAGCACTGTTTACCACTCTTAAATCGATGATCAATCAAAAATAATAATTTAAACAGTTGAAGATTTACTTAAAGATATTTTTTTCGAATTCACTTACAATAATAATTATTATTCAAGTATTTAGATGATTCCTTATGAAACTTTATATATAAGAAAGTATAAAATATTAAAAATTATTAAGTACAAAAAACTGTTAGCACTAGACAAAGTACAAAAAATTATTAAGAAAATTCAAGTTATAAGAAATAAATTAAAGACAGAGTCATCAAAATATTATTTAATAATATGTTATTTTTAAATTATTTATGACATTAATAAATTTTAATTATTTTAATATTTTTTTTAAAATAATTCCTTATATTAAATAATTTTAAATAAAAACATAGTACTAACTAAAAATTGAATATAATTTATAAAAAAATCATATTAAGTTAGTGAAAATAAAAAATAAAATAAAAGAATCGTCACTAGTAAACTTAAGGAGTGTATGGACTATACTTATTATAATTTTTAACACACACATGATTTGCTTACCTCATTGCATGTCTTGTGTTAACTAAACCTAAGTAATTAGAATGTGCAACCCCTTTCTTTTTCTCATTTATCTTAAAAACATTCCCACCAAGTCCCACAAGATTACTAACTCAATGGGACCTTTTACTGTCACCTAATGAAAACCACTAAAATTTTGGTTTTGTAAGCAATGAAGAAGCTTTCCTGTAAGCTGGAATTCTTGACAGTCTACACAGAGTCCAAATTTTACAATCCACAAGTTTGGATCAGGTTCTGACATGTTGATCTAGAGCTCTAAGGCAGTGAAGGTCGAGTTAAGCAAGGAGAAAAAGAAGAAAAAGGCACAAACATAATGAACTGGTATATCTACATGATCGTGAACTGCATTGCAGATCTGCCTTGGAGATGTCACCATCGAAGTTCCATATCATCTTCCCTTCTGTTGACTAAGCTGCTCCAGTCTTGAAAGGTACTGAAAGCATCATGAGACTGCTCTGCTTCGATGAAGCAATGAGAGCAATGCTTTTTCAAGCCTCTTTGGCAACCTGCTGCAAGCTCAAGGATTCGCGGTAGGGGACACCAAGCAGCAGCAAAAGCACCGCAAACAATTTACAAATCCACCGGAG